CCATCTTGCTCCGCCTCTCCAGATTTGTTTAACATACAAAGAGCTCTTACAAATCAACAAGATGAACGCCCAAGTTTAAGAATGGGCAGAAAATATGAAAAGACATTTCACCAAGATGAACAAATGGCCAGTAAATGAAAAGATGCTCATTTATGTTCGTAACTAAAGAAATGTATTTTTTTAAAGTAGGCTCTATGCGCAACATGGGGCTCAAACTCACAACCCCAAGATCAAGAGTTGCGTGCTGTATGGACTGAGCCAGCCATGTACTCCAAGAAATGTGTTTTAAAATATCATTACTGATGAGATTGCCAAATATTAAAAAGTTTTATTTTGATGTTATTGTGTGAGAAAACAGACATTTCTCATACTAGTAAATTATTGGAACTACTTTGAAAGCCAATAGAGTAAGATCTATCAAAAATTTTTTAGTTGATTTGGATCTGTGAACGAGTTGCAAACATAGCACAGAAGGTTCCCATATATCCTTCACCCACAGTTCCCTTGTCACATCTCTGTGACAGTTCCTCAGTCTTCTTGTTTTTCATGATTTTAACACTTTTTGAATATAGAATGTCCTTCAATTTAAGTTCCTCAGAACTTTTCTCCCCAGTGCATCCTATTAGGTGGTCTGTGATGCCAGTATGTCTCATTAGTAGTGACATTCACTTTGATCACCTGGCTAAGGTGGCGTCTGCCAGGGTTCTCCACTTTTTGCCCTCATAATTTGCTAAATATTTTGGAGGCAGTAAGATTTATCAGTTTTAAAGGTCTGTGACCCAGCAGGACCACTTACTGAAATTTACCTACAGCTCTCTGTGATGTATTCCATCACTTGCCAGATGGGGGTGATCAGTGCCCCCTCAGAGCCTCTCAAGGCTTCAGGGAGTGCCGTATTTGAAACACTTGATCAATGCCTCACACCCAGCAAGCTTCTTGCTGGTTCCTCCTCCCTTCCCCAAACCCCTGGAAGCCCAGATGTGTTTGGAATTCAGAAATTTTTCAGAATTCAGAAGATAATAAGATGCACTTATTATATATTATGTGACAGCCCCAGCAGGATCTGCGGCAGCACCCCATAATCAAACACTAATCTTTCTGCAGCAAAACGTGTGCATATTCACATGAAGGGAGAAAGAGACTGTATAAGTAGCTTTGGGTGAGTTCTGATCAGACCTTGATCTGAGTTCAGGTCAGGTTTTGTTGCCGTAGATAAGTTTTTAAAAATCCCTTTGGGCTTTTAGAGCATTTTGGGTTTCAGAATTGTGTGTAAGGGCTCGCACACCAGGATAGAAGTTTGCAAACACAGGTGTGGACATCAGGGGTGTTCATGGCAGAGTTGTAAATAAGCCGAATGGCCCTCTGTAGGAGATTGGTTAAATAAATCCTGGCACACAGTGGAGCCCCATCCAGAACTTTAGAAAGAAAAGAGCAAACCGCAATGGGCTGCAAGGAAAAGTGCGATAAGATATATGACTGACTGACTCACGACACAGAACAGTGTGAATGATCTTGTCTGGATTTAAAAACATGTATGATGATGCTTGTATAAGCATCAAGAAACATCTAGAATGACACCTAGAAGAGTGGCTGCATATTAGAATCACCTGGGGACACTGGAAACTACCAAAACCTGGCCCTTCTCTACAGCCATTGAATTGGAAGTGGAGGAGTGGGTCCCATGCCCCGATCCCAGGTGACGCTGGGGTCCTGTGAGGCCTGAGAGCTGCTGGAATAGGAGGATGCCGCCATTTGGAGGGAGACTTCAAAGTTCATACTTTACTGTGTGGCTTTTCTCCTCAGTTGTATTTGTAGTAGTTTTATATATACTTCTTGAAGTTTAAAAATAGTTTTAAAAAAACTGTTTAAAAATAGTAAAGACTGTTTAGTGAACAAAATCAGATATAAGGCAGTGGAGACACATTTTCAGCAGATATATAGAATTTTCTAGAAGTTTAGTATTTCTGAGCATTACTCTCCTTTAATATGAATGGTGCTTGCTGATTTCAACTGATAATTGATCTTTAAAATTTTTTTTTTTCCTCTTTCATCCTGAGAGACAGAGGCTGTTGAGGGAGGCACCAGCGGAGGCTAAGGTCAGTTCTGTGCTTCGAAATTCTGGTGGTACTTTATTTCAGGTGATTGCTCATTTACCCCATTTAGACGCCCACACTAGTACTTGATTATTCAGAAGGAAGAGGTCTCCCAGTGACACACCTGGCTAGGAACACCTTAGGGGGAGAGCTGGTCCTGACGGCTCTGCTCTGTTCTTGCTCGAATGAACTTAACCCAGAAGTTGAGTCCCTGAAGGGCATCTTTCCTTTCCTCTGCCCTCCCCTCCCCCCCTTCCTCCATTGTGGGCCACACCTGGCATAAAAGCATCCCTGTTCTCACAGATGCCCTTTATTGTGCATGCTGCCCTTCCTCTGATAAGGCCTGTTTTATCTGCCTCAGCAAAGCCACTTGGGAAAGTCGGCTCTCCTTGTGCTTGGTGCCCTGTGCTGATATCCAGGCAGACCTGGTCTTGGGGTGAAGTCCATGAATGAACCTGATCACTTCCTTCTTGTAAGCCGTATCTGGCTTTCTCTGGAGAAGGTGATACTCTCTGCGGCGCTCTTGCTAACGTGGACGCGCTGCGCGGGGGGAGAAGCAGGCATTCAGAGGAAGCCCGGGCCAACACCTCACTCCTGCCGCCAGCACCCTGTGTGGGGGGGCGCGTTTCCACACTCCTCCAGGGTGCTTTCTGGCTTTGCTCAACAAATGCTTTGAGTGTCATTAGTAATTCTGTCCAAGGTGAAAAACCCTCCCTTGTTAGGACTCAAATTAAAAAGGCCTCTTTGGGGAACAATGAGAAATGGGTTTTTTCCCCCGAAGGTGTTGTGGAAGCATTTAATATTAGCTGTCACTGTTTACAAAGATGATTCATTCTCAACCTGTCCTGGAGTGGGGGGGGGGACTGCACTTAACCCCATTTTACAGAAGAGGAAACTGAAGTGCGGGAGAAATTACCTGCAGGTGGTGGGTTTCCAGGATGGTGCTCCCTCCAACCAGCCTGCCCTGAGGGGCTGGCCCGCTGCCTGGGCCACAGACCCTTGTGGGCTCTGGGTGTGCCACTTACGTGGTCTCCTTCCCACAGGTTCGTGTTGGCACAGATGCCTTCCTCCTGGTGCGGCGGCACTGTGAGTACAAGGGTTTCTTCACTTGTTTTGTTTGGCAGATTCTCCCCCAGCCTCTGAGATGATGGGACTGGGAAACGGGCGCCGGAGCATGAAGTCGCCGCCCCTCGTGCTGGCCGCCCTGGTGGCCTGCATCATTGTCCTGGGCTTCAACTACTGGATCGCCAGCTCCCGGAGCGTGGATCTCCAGGTACTTGGCTTGTCTGTGTGCATGGGTGTCTGGTGGGGTCTGAGGGCTCTGCTGTTTACCACCCCCTAAGGCATCACGCTCAGTGGCTTGTGCACTCTGTATCTCGAGTCTGGGTGTTCCACATATCCCCACACCCCGCCCAGGGCCAGACTCTCCACATCCGCTCTGCCCTTGGGTGGGAGAGGACCTCTCTGTGACTTAGGATTGCCCCCAGAAGAGCCCTCTTGGCTCGGCCTGTGAGTGAACGATTTTTCTTCAAGCCATGGGGGCTGGTTCTGGCAAGACTGCCTGCTTTGTCACACTGACAGCCCGTCGGGTCCTTCGGTCCACACCGGATCTCAGAGCGGTGTTGGAAATGTATTTGGGTAACAGGTGTGGGAAAGGTGTTTTTTTTTTTAGAGGTGCCGGTTGTTAAAATCCTCACTCGAGGATAACGATTGTAGCTATCCCATTTATCATTGGGCATCATGGGTCAGGTAGTGCTGAGCTAGGACAGAGACTGCCCTTGACCAGACTTCACTCAGGCACCTCTGACCCCTCTCCTCTAGACCTCCGTCTTGGCTTCCCCTGCCATCCTGTCTTCAGCCTGCCCAGCCCACTTAGCAAAGAATCCTGCTAAGTCCTCCCCACCCCCCAGTCCCTGATCAGGCCCCTGCTCCCCCTTGCTGATGTCTGAGCTCTTTGCCTGCCTTTAGCAAGAAATCCCCCTGCCCTTGACGTCTCCTCTTGACACTTTTCCTCCACTGACCCCTCCCTCTACTGTTGGCCCTTAGCTGTCTCAGCTGGGTTCAGGGTGCAGCCGGTTCTCTCCCCTGCTGCATAGACAGGACCTCTCTTGCAGGAGCCTTGAAGGAAGTTTTCCTTCCCATTTTCACAAGTGCCCGGATGGTTTTTCTTCAACAGTGCAGTGGATAACACTGTCTTGTTTTGTACGCAAACTCTGTACGTTTGGGACTTCACCGTCCCCCTTCCCAGGTGGGCAGACGGAGACGCAGAGCGGTGCGGTCCAGGAGGAGCGGGGATTCCAGCCCGGTCTCCGATGGCAGAGCTCGGGCTCTTAGCCGTGAAGCCCCGTCACGGCCGAGTGTCCTGTCGGGCCCGGCTGCCCCTGTGCGCTTCCACGGGAGCCCGCTGTCTGGGCAGACGTGGACTTGGTGTCCCGAGTTAGAGAACTGAATCTGTTTCGAGAGGTTTTGTCTGCCCAGAGTTAAGCGCTCTGTCAGCGGCGGGAGGGAAGCTAAATATTTGTGCGGCTGGGAAAGCCTGAGGCACTTCGTGGGCTTCCTCCTTCGGGCCTCACAGACGCCCTGGGAGGCTTGTGCTAGTATTTCCTGGGAGATAAGCTGTGCGACAGAGAAGCCCAGAGAAGTGACTTACTCGCCCTGTAACACTGTTTCTCTGGGAAAAAAAGAGTCGCTTCTACACAATTGACTTCCAGGATTGTGCTTAACGGAACCCCTTCAAGCCCATTTTTGGGAGAAGGTAGAGTTTATTCTCCAGGAGCAGAGTTGACAGGATTCCCGTCGCGGCTTTGCAGGACACGCAGAGGACGTGTCTGGCCGCCCACCGCTGCCCGGTTAGGAAGGAGGACGGGGATGGGAGCTGCGGAGCGTGGGGCTGCGGAGGGGGACCCAGGGGGGCCCAGCAGGACTGCCCGCGGGGCCTGGGAGCACACCTCCGACTGTAGGGCTTGCTGCTGGCTCGGCCTGAGCCGGCTTCTCCCAGGGAGTGCCCTCCAGGGGCCGGGTGCGCGGGGACAGCTTGGGGTTCGCCCTCACGTGCTGCGCTGTCCTTGTAGACCCGGATCCTGGAGCTGGAGGGCAGGGTCCGCAGGGCGGCGGCCGAGAGGGGCGCGGTGGAGCTGAAGAAGAACGAGTTCCAGGGAGAGCTGGAAAAGCAGCGGGAGCAGCTCGACCGCATCCAGTCCAGCCACGACTCGCAGCTGGAGAGCGTCAACAAGATCTACCAGGACGAAAAGGCAAGACCTGCTCTGTTCCCTCCGCCCCCTTTAATTCTGTTCCAGATGCCAGTTGAGACGCCGCTGAATTCTTCTGGATGGAGGATGAGTGGCCATGAGGGTGTTTATGGGATGAGGTGGAAGGGGCCTCCTGATCAAGTGGTCCCGTAGTAACCATCCCCTGCCCGGTACACGGCGTCCCTGTCTTGTGCCCGCACATTTGTATCTCTTCATCCCCTTCCCCTCTTTTACCCACCCCCCAGCCCTTCCCCTCGGGGACCACCGGATTCTCTCCATCTGTGAGCCGTTTTGTTTTGTTTTTAGATCCCACATGTATGTGAAATCATATGGCGTATTTGCCTTCCTCGGATTTATCTTACTTAGTGTAATACCCTCCAAGTCCATCTGTGTTGTCCCAAATGGCAAGATTTTGTTCTTTTTTATGACTGAGTAATATTCCTGTGTGTGTGTGTGTGTGTGTGTGTACACGTACGCACCCCACATCTTCATCCATCCCGCGGTGGATGGACACTGGGCTGCTTCCCTATCTTGGCTGTTGTGAGCAATGCCGCGGTGCACATGGGGCACATATACCTATTCAAATTAGTGTTGCTGTTCAGATAAATACGCAGAAGTAGAATCGCTAGATCAAACAGTAGTTCTTTTACTGCTTTTCACAGCGGCTGCCCCAGTGTCCGTTCCCACCGGCAGTGCACGAGGGCTCCCTTCCGTCCACATCCTCGGCAACGCCTGTTCGATCTTGTCTCTTTGATCTTAGCCATTCTGACACGTGGAAGGTGGTATCTCACGTGATTTCATTTGCCATATTCACACATGTGTATTTCCTCTCTGAAAATTGTTCCAATCTTAATGTTACAGTAAAGTGCTTCCTAATTTTTCTTTACTTTATGGGTGGCACTGTGTATACTCCTTAAATCCCTGTAACTAGGCAGTGCTCACGGTGTGTACACAGACAGAACCCCTTCAAGCCCATTTCTGGGAAGAAGTAGAGTTTATTCTCCAGGAGCAGAGTTGACAGGATTTCCATTGGGGCTTTGCAGGACGTGCAGAGGACGTGTCTGGCCGCCGGCCATTGCCCGGTTAGGAAGGAGGAAAAGGATGGGAACTGGGGAGTGTGGGGCTGCGGAGGGGGACCCCGGAGGGAGGGCCCAACAGCACTGCCCTCGGGGCCCGGGCTGAGATGCGCTCCTGTGCTGGGCCGGATGGCGGGCGGGGCGGGGGGCGTCCGGCCTGGTCGACTGCTTCCTCAGGGCCCAGCTGTGGTCTAGAACCAGTGTCCCATCTGCAGGGAGGGTGGGAAAGCAAGGAGGGTGTTTGCAGTGACTCTCCGCCTGCCTCCGCACCCCTGTGTGTACGCGTGTCTGTGCCTGAAAGTTCTGTTCTCTTCCCGAGGAAGGGTTGTCTTTTACTCTGAGCCTCTGGTTTTTTCTCCCTATGTTTTTACTTTTAAATTTGTCCTTTTTGAAATGGTAGCGATAGAAGATAGTATGGGTTTGTGGCCGTGAGTGGTGTTGGCTTGTTGCTCTTAAGTATTTGTTTTCTTAACTCCATCAGTCTACCAGATGCTTCCGAAATTGCACTGCACTATGAAATCCCAAATTCCGGGAGTGATAATCTCTCTGTTCATTCTCCTCTAGGCTTCCGGAGATTTCTGTGTGTTGCGTGAAAGTGTGGGTGCACATTTTGGGTGGGGAGAAGGAAAAGAGGTTGCAGGTGAATTTCAGCTCGTGGGCATTCTGCTATGGTGTGGGTTTGCACTAGTTTGGCTCCAGACCCCTGTGAAATGCACTGCAGACAACGGGGCTTCCCGTCCAGGGTGGGCAGACTCCTCAGAGAACGTGCTGTGCACAGAACTGTTTGTTCTAGAGAATTCCTAGTCATGCAGTCTGTGAAGCATCATCCCACAGGTGCGTCCTTGAGTTAGAGATGCTGGTTCATTTGAGGATAATCTCATGTGGAGATAAGAGCACAAACTTGGAATTCTTTGAACTATGATTGAGTAGCTGTTTGCTGAGCAGCTCTCCCTATATAGGAAGAAATGAGAGGGAATGTCTTCCAGCCAGAAACGAGGTGACTGTTTCACCTTGGTTCTTAATGCTTCAGCTTTATGGCTTCTTTTTAAAAAGGGGGCTTAGCTGTCCTGCCCCGTCCACTCAAGAACTGTTTGGGGATCCAGGGGATCCTCTTGTAGTTGCAATAAACAACTTAGATATTGAAAATTGAGGAATCCCAGTAAAGAGGGTGAAATACGCATTTGAAGCCAGGACAGACAGCCACTGGGGAAGAATGAGAGTCCCTTCATTTGAAGTTTTTAATCTTTAGAATATGTGATAGAAAGTTCTAGGTTGGGGGGGGCGGCTAGTTTCTTGGCTCCAGGAGGATTTTAGCTGTGCTTGCTATAGTGGTAAAAGGCATGGGGTGTCCAGTCAGGCAGACCTGGCTTCTGCTCCTGTCTTCCTCAGCTCCGTGATTTTAGGCAAGCCACTTAAATTCTCTGGGTCTGTTTTCTCAGCTCTCTGGTGAGAATAACAACAGAATCCCCCTTACGGTGTAGCTTGTGAGGGTTCAGTGAGATAATATTTATGGAGGGCTTGGCACAATGCTTGACATGGACTAGAAGCTCAAAAACTGGTAGCTGGTGTCATTACAACTAGTCCTAGTAATCGTAGTAACAGCAAAGGCCTAGAAGTAAACCACAGCATCGGTAGTGATGATACTCTTTTTTTTTGGTATAGACTTTTTTTTTTTTTAATTCCAAATTGAAAGCATGAAACAAAATTGCCCTACCTTTAGGAAAGGATTAAGGAGATGCTGGGGTGGCCATCAGAACAAAGACTGAACAGTGCTGCTGAGCCACAGGAAGAGTGACAGTGACAGCCTCCACAGCAGTGAGGAGAGCTCCCGCCTGCAAACCTCTGCTCAGCCTGACACCAAGCTAAGCATTCCGCGGGGATTGTTTCCTGCATTTGTCTCAACAGCCTCATGAGTCTGGTGCTTCGGCTCAGAGTTCGTAGCCATCACCCAGGATGAGGCCTAGACCCCCGACAGCCCGCACAAGAGGGCCTCCCTCTGCTCTGTGCAGACACAGGGCCACGGTGTTGCGGGGGGGTGGTTCTACAGAACCTTCCATTCCTAAAGAACACAGGGGGTGTGAGTGGGGCCGCAGGAAACCAGGCTGGCCAGAGTCCATATTTGTTGAAGCTAGGTGATGGGATCCTGTATTTATCTCCATGATTCAAGAGGGCATGGTATTCCAGCTAGCTCTCTTTTGGCCCCAATTCCAAATTCTCAGGCAGTAAACACCTGATTCTTTATGGCCGGGCAGTTCCCAGAGAAGTAGGGCTGGCCTGTCACACCAGGACGTTCTCTCTCTCTCTTTTTTTTTTTTTTCTTCTCTTAGAAGGTTAGCACTTGTGGTTTGAATTGGAATGAGGCTCTTTTTCAGAATGTTAAAGAATCCTCTGGTGATCTAATAGAGCCTCTCAGCTGTGGGAGGACTTGGGGGTGCCGGCATCTGTGGGTGGGGGTGATTTGCAAATGTTTCGTGCCCTAGAGATTTCTGACCTCCTGGAACCTCCCCCCCGCCCTGGGTGGGCACGGTTGCTCTGGAGGGTATTGTAGCCGTCAGATATGGGCGTGGATGGAAGCTTGAAGGCCAAGCCCACCGGGGATGATGTGGTCATGAAATGAATGCTTCGGGTGAGCACTGTGAAATAGAATTCCCCGGGATGAGGGGAATTTGCTGTTTGAGCTCTGCTGTACAGTATCCCCTGGCTGCGTATGGCTGTTGAACATCGGAAATATGACGGGTGGGTCCGAGGAACTGAATTGTGAGTTTTATTTAGTCTTAACTGCACTTAAGTGGCCAAATACTGAACAGCACGGGTTTGAATGATAGAGGCAGAACTCTGGTAGAAAGGCTGAGTGCCCTGTTCTGCGGGAGAGCAGATGGGCCACGGCTGGGTCTCCTTTGCCTCTCGGCTGTCTTTTCCCTTTTGCTGTTTGGTCCAGAATCGGGCCGTGGACTGTGAGGTCACCTTGTGATCAGGCAGCTGTCCTTCCTGTTGCTCGGTAGGGGTCCGTGGCATGGAATTATCAGTTCAGCTTATCAAGTTGGCATTTATGAACTTAGTCGTTATGGAAGTTGTTTTAGAGAAATCAGGCCTTGCCAGGCAGCACATCACAATCGCCTGGGAGCTTATGCAAACAGATACAGGTTTAAGAAATACACCGGATCAGACTCTCTAGGTGTTGGGCCCTGGAGAATATTGAATTTTTCAAAAAGATGATACACGTACACATGCGGGTGCAAGATTTTCTCTAAGGGCTCACTAAGATCCTTGCGATGCATGCGGCTCATCCAGAGACTGATGAGGAGATACTGAGTATTTTTGCAGTATTGCACTTTTAAAAATAAAATTGCCATATCAGGGTTTTCATTTTCATTTTTTTGACCCTTTCTCAATGATTTTAAAGTGGAGGGCATTATGATTAAGAGATATAATTCTTCAAAAATAATCTGACGGTACGGTTACAAAGTAATTGATGTGATACTCTTTTTACTATTTCCTACATCTTTACCCACATTTACTGGAATCCCTGACAATTTTTAGATGTGCCAAGTTGCAAACTTCCCGCTCACTCCTTTTTTTTTTTTTTTCCATAAGATTGCCAACTCCCCCAGACTTGGGATATGGGTGTGTCTGTAGGTCCTCAGTTCTGAGACCAGCCTCTCAGGTGCCCCTACAGATGTCACCTGGAATGGGTGGGCAAGTGTAGAAACATCAAGTGAGCTCTCGACAGCCTCGCTGTGGTGCTGGAATGAGCCCTAGAGCAGTTTTAGTAGAAAGAGCAGGGCATGTAGAGAGGTCAGAGGAATAATAAGCTAATACCTGTGTGCCCCTCCCCCAGAAATTATTTAAAACAAAAACCATTATCAAGGTGAGGTCCCCTGTATTCTCCTCTGTTCTTTCCTTCTTTCCCTCATGCCCAAAGGTCGC